CAGCAGGAACATTACATGTGCTATTTGAAGGCATTACAGTGGTAAGACAGTGTCAATAGTCGATTATTGCTCTGAGCTGTCAGGGAAGATCCAACTGACAGGATTCCAAGCTCTCAAAAAAGAATACCCAAATCCTGCACGTAGCTGTTCACATTGACAGGCAGCAAGCTATTCTCAGCACCTAGGTCTGACTTTAAAGCATCCTCACAACTAGATACACTCTCAAGGTGTCAGTGCTAAGTGAATGAGTGCTGTTAACACCACTCTGACATAAGTCATAGGAGTTCCTTATCTACAGCTTATTGCTGCTCATTTAGCTGGTGTAAGCTAGATGACACAAATCAGTGAAGAGAATGAGACTTCACAAGTTAACAAGAGCAACAGAAGGGCTAAATTGGGCCAGCTCAGGAGAATAGAGTAGGCGGGGGGGGAAAAGTGACAAGGAGGCTGGATCAATGCTATTGCTCTTTCAGCTGGCAATACACCACAGACATGTCTGAACTACTCCTTTCCACAGGTGGAATAATGGGCTTCTGTACAGTCATACTAGGCTCTTTTTCCTGCACAGCTATAGAGTGCTTCACAAGCTAGGGGCTTTATTTGTGATACCTCCCACCCTCCTTCCAGGATCACTCTTGTAAAAATCTTTATTATCTCTCTTCTTAAGCATTGAATAACCACTGAATACTCTATGGCATCTTCACCTCAACCTGTATTTACAAGCATAACAATCTAACCCTAACCATCCATTTTCAGCTCACATTTCTCCTGAAAGGCATTTGCTGTGCTCGCCTCTCAAAAGATGGTAAGTACTTGTACACTGGATCACTGGATCAGTCCATTATAGTCTGGGATGTTGCAAGTGGTGAGTAGTAGTGAAATGCTAGCAACCAGGAGAAAGTCTGTACTCCTTCCTGTATGAAATAGGCTTGTAGCATGCTTCATATTGTAAAAAGGGAAACGGGCCATACAGCAACAGTTCATGCAAGTATCAGAACAGAAGCTAGAACACTGAATCCAGAGGCAGCGCATTACCATTGTGACTGGAGGCTGCTACGCTACAGTTGGAGAATTCCAGCACATAGGAGAGAAAAACATTCTGGGTTCAAATATAAGCAGCAACTTTAAGGGCAAAGTAGGAAAGGTCTCTCTAAGTTTCAGTATGCAAATGTCCCAGTTTCAGCCAGGATAATTTTCTTCATAGAAGCTAGTGCGAGGCTATGTTTTGGATTTGGGATAAGAAAATGTTGATAATGTGATGAAGTTTTGAGTTGTAGTCAAGGACAGTACAGCTTCTCGCCTGCCAGCGAGGAGGCTGGGGGTGCAGGGGAAGCTGGAGGGGACACAGCTGGGACAGCTGACCCAGGCTGGCCAAAGGGATATTCCATACCATACGACATCATGCTCAGTATACAAAGCTGGGGGGAAGAAGAAGGAAGAGAGGGACGTTTGGAGTTACGGCGTCTGTCTTGCAAAGTAACAATTACGTGTGATGGAGCTCTGCTTCCCTGGAGATGGCTGAACACCTGCCTGCCCATGGGGAGTAGTGAATGGATTCCTTGTTTTGCTCTGCTTGCGTGTGTGGCTTTTGCTTTCCCTCTTAAACTGTCTTTATCTCAAACCATGAGTTTCCTCACTTTCACTCTTCCAATTCTCTCCCCCCCACCAGGGAGTGAGCGAGCAGCTGCATGGTGCTTAGTTGCCGGCTGGGGCTAAACCACGACAGCAAGTAATCTATAATGGTCTAAGGAGAGACAAGCAGCATGGCTTACTTTTTCCCCTCTCCTCCTTGCTCTGCACGTGACCCAGTTTTACTGAGTTCAAGTTGTCTGGTGACAAGGAACCATTTGAGGAAAGTGGCATATTTTAAGTCCAATCCTACTACACAGTAAATACTTTATTCTGGGCTTGGTTTCCGCAGGTGCCTTGCTGGCTGTACAGTCTGTATACACAACTGCTGGCAGAATTGTACCAACTGCAGACGGATTTGTTGCAATAACAAAAAGTTGCTTATATAATCCGTGAGAAGTTTCACTGTCCTAAGACCCCCCCTCCTCGGTATAACCCACTACAGAACATCGTGGCAACGTGCACAGTAAAATCCAGAAGGAAATATGGGGAAAACTCAAGCAAACGACGGTATGACCAAGGAAATTCTTCTGGAAGCCTGATTCATACCAGCAAGCTCTCTCAAGTCTGTTCAGTGCTGTAAAAAGCAAAGTTGAATAGGATAAACCAGCATAAAGACCCAGGGCTGAGCTTGCGGGTTTCTCTGTCCATCCTTTTGCCTTAGTGCCTCAGAATTACAACATTAAACATTACTGAAAACTCCCTCGCTGCGGTTATTTAGAGCCGATTAATACCTTGGCACAACACTACTGTTGTCACGTACCATAGGAATAACCACGTAAGAAGCGCAAATAAGGGGGGAAAAAAAAACAAACACAAAAAACGCACAAAAACCCAACTCAAACCCACATTTTGTCCAGCTACGCCAGACCAGGCACTACAGCGGAGTCGGCACTGCGGCCTTCCCGCGCCCCACCTCGGCTCTCCCCTTCCCGCCAGGGCCAGCGGTTCCCGGTACAGAGGCACCGGGGACTTGGGTCGCCGCTGCCCCCTTAGAAATTCGGAGCCA